GACCCCTTGACAACTTGACACACAAACACATCAGTATTAAGTCAAAACCCTTCCTTTCTTATTCATCCTCAAGGTCTCACATGATAAATAACTTTGAAAGTCCCGTAGTCTTTACAAATTCAAACACAATTTTCAGTCCCTTTAAAATATCCAATCTCTTTTGAAAACTGAAGTCTTTTAAAATTCAAAGTCTCTCAACGGTGGGCTCCAATAAAATACTTTCTTACTTCAAAAGGGGAAAAGAAAATCAGGACACAGTCACAATAAAATCAAAGCAAAAACAAATTCCGGCCGTCTTGTGTCTGGGAACCACTCGTGATCTTCTGAACCAGAACCACACTATCTTAAATAAAAATAGCAGTGGGCCTGACAGAGTCTCTAAGCTTCGCCCTGAAACTTCACAAGCAGGCCTCCATCTTCTGCACTGCTCTCGACATTCTTATCTTCCAAGCTCCTACGGGACATCCCGCGGAACTCTCAACATTCAGTGGAACGTTCAGTGGCTCTTCTAGCCCAAAGCTCCAAAGTCCTTCCGCAATCCTTCTGAAAACATAGGCTTGTCACAGCAATACCCCACTCCTGGTACCGACTTCTGTCTTAGGGTTTTATTGCTGTGACGAGACGCCGTGACTACGGCAACTCTTAGGAAGGAAAACATTTAATTGGGGCTGGCTCACAGTTTTAGAGGTTCAGCCCATTATCATCGTGATGAGAAGCGTGGTGGCGCACAGGCAGACATGTTGCAGGAGAAGGACCTGAGAGTTCCACACCTTGATCCACAGGGAGCAGGGACTGGTGACCCCCTGGCCAGACCTGAGCTTGTAAGATCTCAAAGCCCGTCCCCACAGTGGCACACTTCCTCCAACAAGGCCACACTTCCCAACAGTGCCACTCACAAACATGAGTCTATGGGGCAAGATATCGGGGATGGTGGGAGGGGGGTCAGGCATGGGGAATAAAGAAGAGAAAAGCAAAAGCTGGGACCAGATGGTATCGCATAAACTGATGACTTATGCCAAGCAAGTTTATTAGGAAGTGTCGGAGAGAGACCGGGACAGAGTCAGGAGAAAGCTAAATCGGACAACTTTGGCAAAGAGAACACAGGATGTACAAGACAAAGCTACCTTAGGACTGATAACAGGCTGCCTGTCCACAGCCCTTTAAGGGAAAAAAGCTGGTTTCTGAGAAACTGAAACCTGTACTCTTTCAAGGCCCTAGCCCTAGCCTCAGACCAGCCTTGCCAAGTCCGCTACTGGGCAAGGACACTAAGTTTCATTTGTCCTTTCACTGGGGCCTCTGAGAAAGCCTGGGATCGGTCTGGCTCCCAACACAGAAAGACTGTGAGCTCAGATGCCAGTGAGGCAAAAACACCTCATCACCTGCATTAATAGATAGATAGATAGATAGATAGATAGATAGATAGATAGATAGATAAATAAATAAAAGACAAAACAAAGAAAAAAAATAAACTAAGCGGGTGCTAAAGAGATAGCTCAGTTTGGGAGTCTCTGCACCCTCCACGGCAGTACGACATCTGTAGGAGTTAAGAAGGCAATTCGGTTCAACACAACTGCATAGCTGGTGTCGGTTCTGACTTCGGCAGTCTGACCCCAAGTGGTTCTTATTGGAAGTGTATCTAAGCAGAACACGATTTGCCGAATACTTTTCTGGTAATAATTAGCTCAGTCACGAACACACAAGAAAGCGTACGTACGTTTCCTCAAGGAACAAAGTAAACCAAATAAAGATCAGGTGTGACCCTCAAAACTCTTTATAAAGACCTGAGACACCTTCTACAGCTTCTATGGGTCGACTGGGAGAAACAAGCTTGCCACGAGGGTCTGAGGGTGAGGGAGGCTCCTGCCTGGTGTGGCAGGTCTCCATGCTAGAACGAACATCCACTCCCAGCCTTCTGGGGGACATCAAGTATTGGATTCCTTCCCTTGAAGGAACAACCGTGTGTACAAAGATCCCAGGTTCCTTTAGCTCTGCACGTGCTACCACAAGGAACTCCATGCCTTCTGCAGCTTAGGAATTGAGAGCACCCGCTACTCTCACAGAGGACCTGGGTTTTAGTCCCAGTACCCACATGGTGGCTAAAAAAATAAAATTAAATTAAAAAAAAATCTGTAAGATCTGTAACTCTAGTTCCAGAGACTCCAACACCCTCTTCCGGCCTCCACAGCCCTGCATATTTTTGTTACGCAGATACACATGCAGACGAAAAACACCATACACATAAAATAAAAACAAATGACGATTCAAAAAGGGGGTGGAGGTTAAAAATAAAAAGGTGATTGCTGCCTGTCCCAGTGTGCTTGCTAGCATAGTCTGGTTTCTTTCAAGCTCTTTGAACAAAAGGAATTGCCTTGCTGAACTGTTTTCACTATTCCTGTGTTCCTTTGTAAACACAAAGAATATTCCTCGTTTTTAACCTTGTTTGCTGAAAGCAGCCAACAGATTGAAAACTCCCTTCAAAATAAATATCCACTATTAAAGTTATTAGCAATATGTGAGGAGAGAGTGATGGCGTGTTTGCAGTTCTGAGCCCTGTTCTGGATTACTGGGGAGATGGGAAAGTAATTTTTTCCCTGTGTGTGGTGGTCCCATCCTCGTTCCCCTGAGAATACCCCCCATAGACTCATGCTTGGATGTTTGGTCCCCAGTTAGTGGAACTGTTTGGGAAGGATGAGGAGGTGTGGTCTTGTTGAGGAAGGGGTGTTCCTGGGGGTGAGCTTAGAGATCTCAGAAGCCCATGCCAGCCCCCACCGCTTCTCTGAAGCCTTTGAATCAGATATGAGCTCTCAGCTGCCTCTCCCGCACATGCCTGGCAGCTTGCCATGCTCCCTGCCATGACTGTAATGGGCAAACCCACTGAAAGCGTAATGTGTAAGCCAAATAAACCCTCTCCTCCCCCCCGGACTGGTTCGGTCAGTGTTTAATTACAGTGACAAGAGAAGCAAAACGGGATAGAAATACAGCCAAGAATTGATTTTAAATAACTTTAATTATTTTTATTAGTACATGCTGAATTTACAGACCTGTTCGTTGTTGTTACCCAGGGACACATAAAAAACCTCTCCTGTGGAGCTGGAGAGATGGCTCCCTGCATAATTAAGGTGGTTTGAGTGAGAGTGTGCCCCACAGGCGAATATGTTCAGACACTTGTTCCCCAGGTGGTGGTGGTGCTGTTTGGGGAGATTGTGGAACCTTTAGGAGGTGCAGCCTAGATGAGGAAATATGTCACTAGGGGCAGGCTTTGAGTTTACAGACACACACACACACACACACACACACACAACTCTGCTTCCTGTGCGTAGATAAAATGTGATCGACTAGCTTCCTGCTCCTTCTGCCTCCATACAATGCCTTCATTATGCAGGGAGAAAAAGACAGGAAGGAAGGAAGGAAGGAAGGAAGGAAGGAAGGAAGGAAGGAAGGAAGGAAGGAAGGAAGGGGAAAATGATCAGTAATAGTCAGAGGTGGTGGCACACACCTTGAACCCAGCGCTCAGGTGGCAGAGGCAGGAGACTGTCCGTGGTTTTGAGGCCAGCCTGGTCTACAGAGGGAGTTCCAGGCCATCCAGAGCTGAACAGTATAGCAGCAAAAAAGATTAGTCACTATTTCCAGAGCTCGGTCCTTAACCTCCAGGGCACCCAGCCCCTTCCGACCGCTGCATCCCAGAATTGAACCCAGCAGGTAGACAGTGTCCTGGCTCTGCAGTCATCGCTAGACCCCAGACTGGTCCACCCAACTCCCTCCAGAGAGTTAATTTCCTATGCTATTTGCATTTTTAACAAAACAGCTGTGGGGGACTGGAGCCAGTGAGCTATACCTACGTTTAGGTGGCATTCCACGTTAAGACAGCCCTTCCAGCCCATGATACAGCCCAGAGCATGTCTGCCATCCTGACACTTCAGGAGGCAGCGCGTCAGGGCAGCAAAGTCATCCGTGGCTATGAACTGAGTTCCAGGCCAGCCTGGTGTAACGGAAGTTTGGGGTTCTTTGTAAACTCAGTCATGTTAGGTAAACACGTTTCGGTTTTAATCCCGTCTGTGTGGGATTTCAGTCGGGCTTTAGTTTGTCCACAGCTAACAGTAAACTGTGGGGGCGTGGCTTTTGCCAGGCTCACAGAGAGGGGCGTGGTCTAGGACTCAAGTATAAATATGAGAGCCTAGAAAGAGGCGGCCTGGCGTTCCTTGTTGGCGTGTGGCCTGCAGCAGTTTGGAGAGACCCGAGAGAGACAGAGAGAAACCGCTCTGAGGCACAGCGGCTTGAAGCCTACTTGCCTATGATGTCTGCTGTTGATGGAGATTGGCCGATCCCCCCCAAAGACCCTTCGACTCTCAATAGCCGGGAGAAGAAAAGGGGCCCCTCTCTCCACTAACCTTCTCTCTCCTGCTAGGGTTGGGAGGTTGAAAGGGAGGTTGAGGCCTAAACACCCCCAATAAAAGTTTTAAAAACAAGTGCTACAGCCTGGAATGTATGAAATATTTTTTTCAAATGCTGGGATTGTGGGTGGCCACACCTCAACGGGTTCTTATTTATTTATTGGCAGGATTTTACTTATTAAGACCCGCAGGCAGCCTTGAACTTGCTGTATAAGCTAGGCTGTCTCAAACTGACCCTCTTTTTATTTATTTAGAGCCAGGGTCTCGCTATGTAGTCCTGGAGCTCGCTGTGTGGACGACTGAGCTTGAATTTACAAAGATTTACCTGCCTAGGTCTCTTAAGCTTTCTTACAGATTTATCTACCCGCTTCTCGGAGGACTTCCGTGCTCTCTCTCTCCCCACTCTGCAGAAAGACAAGGAGGCTCCACCATCGTAGGCCCCAAGCGCCTGAAAGCAGCGGGACCACGCCCACCTCTTGAGGCCAGCCAATCAGGATTGGAGATGCTCTTCCCTCCATTGTGAAGAATGGCCTCTGACAGGGCAGCGTTTAGGATTCCGGGTAGCGCCCCGGAAGGCGCGGTGGCTCTGTGTCGGTGAGTAAAAAGATCATGGATACACCCGCACCTGCCAAAACTTCTAAGAAGCCGCTAGACCGCGAACAGACTTCCGAAGAGAAAGCATTTTACGCTCGGAATCACTTCGTCATGACGGTCCTCGCGCTGATCCTTTTCCCACCCTTGGGATTGGGAGGCCTCTACTACAGCCGCAAGGTAAAACTCTTCCCTGGACACTGGCCGCTTGCCACCTGCAAATGCTCCTGTCCCCTAAGTCTCCGGTTGGGCTCTCCCCACAGTGGCTCTAGGCCTCCTACCCTCCTCCCAAGGACCTCAGGCCCCAGAAACCCATACCCATGCTCCCGCCCTTACAGACCGACGAGGCCAACAAGAGCAGCGACTGGGAAGACGCTTACCACAACTCAACTCGGACTATATTTTTTGATGTATTTGGCATAATGATTGGTTTGGGCCTCATTTACGTATTCGTCCTAGTTTTATGAAGCCTAGACCCAACAGCCACCCACGTAGACACTGACCAGCCACCAAGAAGAAACTCAGAGCTTCAGACATCCCGCTCGCCAGGAACCGAATGACTCAACATCCCAAAGATCCCGGAGGCCCCTGCCTGCACTCAGTCACCTCATTCTCATTGGGCCTCCACAGCTGTCTCCATCCACCTTGGAGACCCACAACTCAAGAACTACGTCAGCGTAAGCTGCTCTTCCATGAAAAGAAGAAATCGTATTTCTTAGCCCAATAAACTCGAAGGGAATATTCTGGCTTCTCCTGTGTTCGTGAGGAGATGGTTTTCCTGGGTCTTCTTAGACCCAGTGAAAACCAGAATGCAGTAATGGTGCCATACACACACACACACACACACACACACACACACACACACACACAAGAGTATATTTAGAAATCTGAATGTATGTTTACTTGCTACGTGTCTTCACTTGGAAGCTGAGGTGCTGGGCTTCTGTTGTCTCAGAACAGGAAAAGAAAACAACTCGGCCATCTGTGCTGGCACACGCCTTTGATTCCAGCACTCAGGAGGCAGAGGCAGGATGGATTTAGGAGTTTGAGACCATCCAGGGCTACATAGTGAGTTCCAGGACAGCCAGAGCTACATAACAGAGAGACCCAGTCTCAAGAGAGAGAGAGGAAGAGGAGGAGGAGGAGAAGAAAACAGAAACTTCATCCACAGGGGTTGCATCCCTGTAATCCCAAAATTCAGACGTTTTCAAGGCCAGCCTGGGCTGTGTAAATGAGACCTTGTCTTACACACACACACACTCATGCGTGCACACACACATGCACCTGATAGGTGATGGATGGATAGATAACTATCCCCGCTTCTGCAGAAAATCAGAGTTCAGTTCCCAGCACCCATGTCAGGTGGCTTGTCACCTGTGACTCCAATTGCAGGGGATCCGACGGCCTCTTCTGTGTGGCTCACAGACTCACTGGCATACGCCCAGACGCGCATGCATATACAATCTCAGACCAGGCATGGTCGGGGAAACACTTAATCCCACCACTGGGGAACTGGGGAGGCACAGGCAGGTGGACCTCGGAGTTCATGGCCAGCCCCGTCTAGAGAGTCAGTCCCAGGACAGCCAGGGCCATACAGGTAAACCATTTTTGTACTCTGAAGAATGAAGCACGCAAAAAAAAAAAAAAAACAAAAAAAAAAAAAACCTAAAACGGGGCGGAAAGCTGTAGTGTAGGTTACACCACTTGAGTCAGCTAAGGAGGAAGGACGAGAAAACAGGTCCGCTGCGATTTGAGCGGCGGCTGAGCAACCCCGCCACCTGTTGGTAGTTGGCAGTAAGTTCATCATCTCCTGCGAGTTCGGCGGTTGTGCGAGCGTGGTCGTTTGCCAGCCTGTGACTGTTTGAATGTGAGAGGTCATCGTTAGGTCTACCTCCGTCGTTCGCCTTAGTTTTCTGAGACAAGCTCTCTCACTGAACCTGCAGCTTGCCATTAGGACCAGACTGGCCCAGGGTCCATTTGCCTCTGTCCCCACAAGCCCTGGCTTTTTACTTGGCTTTGGGGCTCCAAACTTAACGCTTGTGCAGCCAAGAGGACTCCATGCCAGCCTCAGCTACAAAGCAAGCCCAGGCTGGGCTACCCAAGGCTCTCTAGAACAAACAAACAAACAGGCTTAGGGAGATGGCTCCCTGGGTAACGTTTTACCTGAGTTTAGATTCCCGGCACAAAACAAAAACAAAAAAAGAAAAAAACTGAGCGTGGCAGAACACGCCTGAAGCTTCAGCACAGAGACAGACATGGTAAAAATCAAAATAAAAACTAGGGGGCGTGGCTGAGGGTAGAGGGCTTGGGCGAAGTCCGGGCTTTGATCTGTAGCCCCGCTTGGTGGTGGCAGGAGGATCTGAAACTCAGGACCATCCTCAGCAAGTTGGAGGCTAGCCTGAGCAAGGGGAGATCACTGGTCGGAAGTCCTGGAGGTGGGAGGGGCAAATGTCAGGACTGGGTGAGTGGGCGGGCCCCTCGAGGAAAACCAATGCGGCCTGAGACCCCTAAGGCCCCCATCACGCTTGCCTCAAAGACCATTTTCTAAGCTTTGAGGTGCTCAGCCGAAACCTGGGAATAAGCAAAGGAGTTTAAAAGAAGCCGGTTGTACAGCTCTGTTTCCAAGCTGGAACTTGGAAGTCTCAGGCCGACCAATGAGCAGCCAGGACTGAACTTGCTCTATAGGAACCATCCAATAGAAGTAGGAAGCCGGGCCTGGGAGGCGGGTCCTGCCCGGTTGACACAGCTTGTGGCCCAGAGCTTTCCTGGGACCTCCTGCGGATTTTTGAGGGTAGCGGTGGAACATGGGGAAACTTGATTTTTAAAGGTTAGCGAAGACGTGGTGGTGGGAGCCGCGCAGTTGCTTTATCAGGAAACATGAGAGAGTACGGTTAGACGGGGAGGAGCTGGAGCGTGCTAGCCTGGCCGGTGAGGGGTCGTCCTCGCTCGCTCGCTGTCTGCCGTGGTTCTGAGGCAGCGTCTCTCACTGAGCCTAGGGCTCACTGTGTCTAGACTAGCTGTAGCTGTGCGTGGAGTCCTGGGGTGCTGGGACAGGCAGATGCCGCCACGTCGGGCGTTGCCATGGGTGGGTACCGGGATCTGGAGTCAAGTCCTCCCCTTTCGCTGTAAACACTCTGCCGCGAGCCATCTTCTCAAGCCTTGGGGGTTTTGTTGGCGTGTTCGTTTGTGTTGGTTTGTTGTTTGTCTTTAAGGAAGTTTTTAGTTTAGCTCAAGCTCCTGTTAGCTATGCAGCTGAGAGGCTGGCTTGAATCCTCCTAACCGACTTAACCCGCTTTATTTATTTTGTTGGCTTGTTTTGGGCTTTTTGAGACATGGGCTCACTATGTAGATCAGGATTGCCTGGAACTCACGATCCTCCTTACCTCTGCCTTCGAAGTAGTAGAATTATAGATGGACCACAATACCAGTAAGGCTTTCTCTCCTCTCTCTTTCCTCTCTCTCTCCTCCACCTCTCTCACTGTATCTGTCTCTCTCTTTCTCCTTTCCTTTTTACAGGCTCACCGTATACCCCCGGCTGGAACTTGCAATCCTGAACTGGCTGGTACGGAACTCTAGTAGATCCACCCATTTCTGCATCCAGAGGGCTGGGATGAAAGGCGTTTGTAACCATGCCCAAAGAGAGTCTTACCTTTAGGGTGTTTTATAGGGTCCAAAAAGGTAGCTTTGGGGGGTGGGTAGGGAGGGACAGTGTTTGGGGAACAAAGTGTTGTAAGAGGACATTTTACATTTTAGAGAGAAAAGTCATCAGAATCAAGGATTTGGGGGGTAGAAGAAGAGCCAGTGTGAGCTACGGAAACAATTATAAAGGTGAAGAGGGAGGGGGACTGGGGACACAGGAAGAAGTCCACAGGCCAAGCGAGATGATAGGCTGTGGAAGGTGGGAAATTCTGATGGGCAGGAAATTCTACCGATGGTGAAAAGGAGTGGATCAGGATCTGGAGAGACAGCCCACTGTCTGAGAGCACCAGCGGCTCTTCCAGAGCTCTGACTCCAGTTCAGCACCCTCGTCAGGCTGGCTTCCAGGGCATCCAGCAGCCCTGCTGACTTCCTTGGGCACTTACACAGACACACACACACATAAAAAGAAAAAGAAATATTTACCCCTTTGGTTTTTATTACTTTATTTTACTTTACACGCATGATTTTTTTGCCTGCGTGTAAGCCTGTACACCGTGTGCCCACTGTATCTGCTGGGGCCGGAAGAGGTCATCAGATGCCCTGGGGGCGAGAGAACCGTGAGCTGCCATGTGAGTGCTGGGAATCAAACGGGGTCCTTAGGGAAAGCAGCCAGTGCTCTTGACCACTGAGCCACCTCTCTGCAAGGGCTAAAGTTAACCTGTAAGCTCCATTTGCCCAAGAACGGATAACATCTTAGAATGCTGGCAGTTATTATTCATGTAAAATGACTAGTCACGTGTTTCCCCTGGTTGCCTAGCTTGACCACACGGAGCTGGGCTGTGTGTAGGCAGGAAGGACTATCAGAATGCATGCTTGCCTCCAATTGGATGGAGGCAGGAAGTTCCTGCATCCTTGCTAGCTTTGCCTTTATGAGCCCCTGACTGACCTAGTTCAGCGCCATTCCCCGGGAACCCTGGGTGTAGACCTGGCAGTGTCCATCTTCCTGGCTGGTACTTAATAAAGCTTGCTTTAATTGGATAATCATTTGGTCTTTCTCCTCACCTCACGGTTTTCAGGCTTAAAACTCTCCAGCCCCCAAGTTTCTTTTCTTATTCTTTTCTTTCTCTATCTCTCTTTTATCTTTAAGAACGAGGTAAGGATGACTGAATGGGGAGTCTAAATCCGTGCTCAGACCTGAGTCACTTTCTGTCTCCGTGTGTTTGAACTAATGGCTGCAGTCAATAAGAACGAAGGGCAGAATGAAGAGGAAACTGAGGCTGCAGTCAGCCAAGCTATCCCGGAGTACTGCTGGTTAGCCACGCTGTCCCTCTGCTGTCTGCTTCCGCTGGGCTTGCTCGCCTTGCTCTTTTATCACAAGGTGATGCTCTTCATTCCTCGTCTCCACCCTGACTCCCCCCTGCTTCCTGTAGATTCAGATCCCACTCCCCATTTGGGTCCTTTCTGCTCCCCACTTTACCCTCTCAGAACCCTTTTTTTTAAAAAGCTTACTTTAGCCAGGAGCAGTGGCGCACGCCTGTAATCCCAGCATTCACGGAGGCAGAGGCAGGCGGATGGCTGTGTGTTCGACACTAGCCTGGTCTACAAAGCAAGTCCAGGACAGCCAAGGCTACCCTGAGAAACCCTGTCTGGAAAAACCAAACCAAACCACAAAGGCTTATTTTACTTATGTGTATCACATATTTGTTTGTGCATGACTGAAGTGCCTTCAGGGTCCAAGAGAAGATGGGGGTTACAGGCAGCTGTGAGCCCCTGACACGGATTCTGGAAACCATACTCAAGGCTTCCGTCAAAGCAGTGTAGGCTCTTA